GTATAAGCTGTTATTGAATTGGCTACAAGCTTCTTGTTGTCCTGTACATTTTCTGCTTTCGTGCAAATTGGAAGTTTTTCACAACCCCAAGTAATTTTTTTTTTTTTTTCTGTGTCCTATAGATATAAAAACCATTTTCTTAAAGGGGGTGTTCCGAACCATCCGCTGCTTATGCAACTGGGTACCTGGGTCTGAAAGTCTCATGCGTCTATGAAACGGCCTTTTTGGTTTCATGGCACCAGGCCCCTGTTTCCAAAACTTCTGTCTTTTTTTTTTTTTTTTTTTTGCCGAAGCGAAATAAACACACACACCCAAACAATGAACAGACACGCAGAGATAACACCGAACACACCGGCCCAAAAGAGCAATCTAAGGTGGGACCCACGAGAAACATCCATCCAACCAATTGGTTCCAAAACTTATGTCGCCCTTGGCCTATAACAAAAACTGTAGCCCTTGGCCTATAACAATTATAGAGTGTGTTTGGATAGGAGATTATTTGAAATTTTATTTGGAATAATTACTGTAGCACTTTTTGTGATGTGATGTATGTGAGATAAAAAGGTGATTGGAAATATAAAAAGGTGTATTGAAAATTGTAATGGTGATGTAAATAAATAAATTTGGGCAAATAGTCTCCTGACAGTTTTAGAATCTTTCCGAGGTTTCTAATAATTTTACTTGGCACTTCAAATTTTAAAAAATTTCATTTGTCTGCCTTACTTTAAATTTTTTGTATCATTTACAAACTATTTTAAAATATAATATTAAAAAATTGATTTTGGAAGAGTAAATATAATCTCATTTCAAATTTTCCATTTGTTATTTTACTTTTTATTATAAAAATGCGAATATAGTAATAATAAATGAAAAGTAAAAACAAAAAGTATGAATGTTTATTGTGATTGGAAAAAATATAGTGCGTTTTTTAAATACCAAAGGTGCGTTTGATAAAACTGAAATTTGAAATTATTAAATTATTGAATTGTTAAGTATTAAATCAAATACATTTGAGTGTATATCACATTCAGTCACTTATTTTTGAAAACAAATTTTGTCTAAACAATTCAGTACCACTTAATTAATTCAGATATTCAATTTTTGATTATCAAACATATCTAAACATATTAAAATCTGAACCCATTAAGTTTAACAAATTTAAATGTTGAATTGAATTATCAAACAAAACCCTAGAGTTAATAATTGAAAGTTTATTTGAGCACTTTTAAGGTAACAAAGATAATATTTTCGTTACTGTAATGTATTTTTGTCAGGACCCAGATTCAAAGGCTGGTCCAAGTAATTTTTGGATTGAAATTTACTAGTCCAAAATGGTTAATCCAAATTACTCAATAGCTATTGGATCCAGGTGCGTAAACCCATTCCATTTCCTTCACAATTCCGATGTGGGATATTACATTCTTCCCACCTTTAAGACTTTGCATTCTTGCAAAACCCATCAAAATTCAAACTGTTTATTTGGTCATATTTGAACTCTTCCCAATTCCGATGTGGGATATTATATTCTTCCCCTCTTTTAAGACATTGCATTCTCACAAAATCCTTCAGAATTCAAATTGTTCACTGTTCGAACTCTAGAAGTGGTTACAAGCTCTAGAGGTGGTCTCCGCCGGATGTGACACTTAGTTCCTTGCACTTTTTTGCATAGTTGGAACCATAACCCATTGACCCAAATTCATCCAATGCAGAGATCACGTGAGATTCGCTCTGATACTATCACGATCTAGTCCAAGAGTTGATTCAAGTAATTTTTAGATCAAAATCCATTGACCCAAAATGGTTAACCCAAATTACTCAATAATCATTAGACCCAAGTACTTAAGCCCATTCCATTTCCTTCCCACTTCCGGCATGGGATACTACAGTTTCAAGTCAATTGAAGAAGTTCTATAAATCGTTTACATATTTTTGAATTTTTTTTGTTCAAGTTGATGGCTTGAAAACTAAAAAATACAACATGCTAAAAATTACATATAAACTTGTTTGTAAAGTTTTTAAGTTGGTGCAAAAAAGTATTGTCATGATTGTAGATTATTGCAAGTTATTGTTAAAAGTAGGGAAAATGGCCATTTTCGTCCCTAAATTTTTTATTTCTGTCGATTTAGTCCCTAACTTTTATTTCTGGTCAATTTGATACATAAACTTAATTTTCGAGTCCAATTAAAGCCTTCTACGGCGGCGCCGCCGTCTAAAAGCAATTTGGCCCCTAATTTAACATCAAACAAGGGCATTTTGGGAACTTTAAATTATCTTCTCTCCACTACCAACCTCCGCCACCAACCACCCACCTCCTCCTCTTATCCTCCTCTTTCCATCCACTTTTGAATTTGGATAGGAGGGTGACAATATGGAGGGTCAAACTGAAATCCGCAAAGGCAAAGGTTGGTGGTGTCAAACCACACGGCTTTGTTGTTAGGCAGCAACTGGAACTGTATGGTTGAAACTCCAGCATTTTCAGAACGAATTTCCCAATGACCTCGGAAATTTGTACGGAATTCGGGTTCCTTGCCGGAGGGCTGCTGGGTGCCATCAGGAGGTTGCTGGAAGCCATCAAAGTTACTGCCATCTTGGCCTCCAAAACCAAATTGAATGCTGCCGAAGGGATTTCTTATGCCAAGGGAGAAGCCATCCTTTTGGACTTGGCTGATGGGTGTCCTGGCAAAGGTACCAAGGAACGCAAGGGGAAGAACAAGAAAGGCTTTGAACAGAACAACCATTAATTCCAAAATCCCCAATATCGGAGAATGCCCTTTCATGGGTTCCGTGAAATATTTGTCTCCCCTCGCACAGGCCCCCGATCTCCGTTGGCGCCATAGGGTCCTCCTCTGCGTACCAGTTGGTTCGATGCCAGCTCCGCCAGCTCGTGCCCGATCATGCTTATCATTCGCATTCGGAGGGGCCAGTGCTCCTGGTCCGCGCCTCCGGGCACTGCTTCCCGGAGTTGCCCACCCAGGTGTACGGTAGTGTGTAGCCCACCACGGACGGGAAGGTGAAGTAGTGGAAGCCGCAAACAGCCCGGCAAAAATCTTGGACAGTGACACCCCCGGAGGTAAGGATGAGGTAGATGCCGTTCTTGTGGTCGACGGGGAAGCGCTTCGATCGGACCGCTGTGGCGATGACCTGCTGCATGGAGAGGCGGGTGAGGTGGGTGCCCTAGGAGCAGCGGGGGTCGGAGTACTCCCCAACGACGAGAACGGAGCGCTAGTCTGGTCGGTGTAGAAGGAGACGGTGCGCCACCACTGGGAGACGGAGGGGGAAGGAGCGGCGCGGCGATCGGAGGTGGAGATGGAGAGGAGGAAGTCCTTGATGAGCAGCTGGTGGGAGGCGACCCACCAACCTTCAGATGAGGTAGATGTTGATCGGGGAGGAGAGGACGAGGCCCATGTTGTAGCGAAGGTCGACCAAGTCGGAGGAGCCCTCAAATTTCTTGGAGGCGGAGAGGGACTTAGGGGCAAGCTTTGGGTTGAACTAGGAGTCCGACTGTGTTTGGCAGAGTCTGCTGCTTAGCGGAGGAGTTGGAGGTGGCAGCATCATTGTTGAAGGGGACGATGAGGAGGAAGAGAAGAATTACTACTGTTTTAGTAATCAACATTTTGTGTATAATTCTTGTTTAATGTCACTTCTTTTTAATTTTTGTTACCGCCCCATCATTAAAATTCCAAAAATACCCCTTTTGGGTTGCTCAATTAGGAACTTGAAGGAAACGGTGCGGTGGCTCCGCCGTTGAATTCCTTAATTGGAATCGAAATATAAGTTTAAGGATTAAATTGGTTACAAATAATATATAAGGACTAAATCGACAGAAATAAAAAGTTTTGGGACTAAATTGGCCATTTTCCCTTAAAAGTATTGTAAATCATTCAAAATTTTGAGTAATTTAATATTTCTTGTCCGAGCCAATGATAGAAAAACTATTAAAGAAATTTTCAATCTTGTTATCACGTTTTAAATTTTTATTAAAGAGATAAATTTGATATGTTATGACAATTAAGAGGTCACATTAGATGGATAAATTTGAAATGAAATTGTATTCTTTATCCCGAAATGAAGTTTTTATTATTATATTTTGAAATAGGTTTCAAATGTTACAAAAAAAGTTTAAAACAGGAGAGCCACATGAGATTTTTTTAAAGTTTGAGAATGCCAAGTGAAGTTATAAAAAATCTACTAAGTATCCCTAATAGTAAAAAAACACACTTTCATTTAGTTCCAAGTTCGCAGCATTAACAACCACCCAGGAAACACATTGGATTGAGCTGTTCCGTTACATTACTTCTGCTTCTTAGTGACCGTGCCACACCGGACAATACAAGTCTACTTACAAACACTGATTGCATGACATTCCTAATCGGTAGACACTAGACACATATGTGAAATTCATAAAATCAAGAGCGTTGAGTCATCTTTTGGTTTATTTATGTCGTTGCTTAAGTCGTATTTTTGGTTTAGTATAAGATTTTTCAAACAAATTTAGTCTCTGCCTTTGTCACCATTGATCATAATCTGGAACACCAACTAACTTGGAGCAAGTAAACAGGAAGACTGGTGGAAAGTTCCTCTGCCCAAAAAGAATGTTGAATCCTAAATTCCCCTTTCTCTTGGCATTTGTTTTGCTGCAAGCAGAACTGTGAACCCGTAATACAAGGAAAGAAGATGGAATAATGGACAGGGGACGGAAAGAGAAGGCTACTGGCTTTGTTTGATTTGCTCTTTTGAGAAAAAAAAAATCCCAAAATTTCTGAACCTTATGTGCAACCACCTCTATAACACATTCATTCTTTTCAGTAAAGTGCTACAATCTAAAAGCTCTTTCAAAATAATGCTACGCAAACTATTTGTTGTTTAATTGGAGGCTGCATGGTCGAATGTTATATCTTTTGTTTTATATTTATGCATATATTTTCAGATAAAGACTCCACCTGCAAAATGATCTTCACACAAGGTTTAGAAATAAACCAAACCAATATGTCCGCATAAACTTAGCAACATGATGAGGATTAGAAGTTGCATTATTTTGTTAAAAATAATATAGAGAAACTTGTAAGGTAGCTTTACAACTTAACTTATAGTTTACATCTTCGGTCCTATGGTCTCTCGAGGATCAATATCTAGGTCGTATACTACATTTCATGCTATCTTCATCTATTTCTATTCTATGGACAAAGATAACAATCTCATATTGTAGAGAAACTAGCATGAGCAGAGACTGAAAGCAAAACCTTCTTCCCTCTGTCTCACACGTTACCTCTTGTGTAGTGCCAAAACCAAATATATGATGAGTAAGCGATCTTTTCCTGTTCAGCCCGTCGTTCCACATCTCTTGATGAATCCATTGGAGAAATTCACATGCCTATACCAGAAACTACGTACCTCAGGGGCCCCAATCTCAAGCCAAGGCTTTGCAGGCCCGCTGAAATGTATAACTGCTGCAGTTTCCAACATGTATTTATTAACTTGTGTGACCCGATGACCCAACCCAGCCATATGCCATGAAGGATCAATGCGCTGCATGTGTCCTTCGAATGCCAATAAAGCAGGAGGAAGTGCTCCAGGATGCCAAAGAGTAAAACCATGGTTGAGGTTCTGCAAGGTAAAAACAGAAGGATTAAAGGTAATAAATGCTATTTCTCTATCAAAAGAAGAATAATTAGATCACAACTGTTTAAAGGTTTCTGTTTTTTGCTTAGCATAGTCGGGGTATCTGTGACAGCATCTGAACCAAAATTTTTCAGAATCTAGAGAGTGAAACTCCATTCTCACTAACTAATGATGTAATTTCAAGTCAAAAATGTCAATAAGACACTGCTCAAGCTATTGAGCTCCAGCAACACTTCACACTAGTTAGTAAAAGTAAACATACGAGCTTAAGCCATTGATGATAAGTTGCAGTGATGTTGGTCTTTCTCCATGCTTGAAGATCGAATATATTCATTCCATATAGCCATGCACAACGATCAGAATCCAACTTGGCTGATATCATTGGGTTTGTAAAGTTGAAGAAGTCATTGTATTTTCTTCTGGGGCAGCAGTCACGTCCACACCATGAGTCAACAACTGCACCAACAACTTTCCCATTGAGATCCAATTCCCATAGAGATGATAAGTCATGTTGTACAACAATATCATCATCCAAGAACACAATCTTGTCCAGATCCGGAAATAGCTGTTGTGCCGATCACAATCAAATATACGATCAATCTTCATCATAAGTTCATATTGAAGATCTTCTTTACTACCAGTCAAAACAACCTTAAAGGGAGTAGTTACCTCAGGTATATAAATGCGGAGGTGATTCAAGAGGGATACAAAGCTGGGGCTTAGCACCTCTAAATTCTTCTCCAATTCTTGCTGATATTCAAAGACTTCCTCCTTGAGACTGTCATATTTGTTCTTCCAGATTAAGTGATGAATCTCTAACATCTCCTTAATGGCAACATTAACTTTATGTGACCAATCATATTGATGGAGTCCCTTGACTTCCACCACAGCTGAATTAATAGAGTTCATGGCAAACCATGCATGCATTGCTGTATAGGTCTTTTTATCAGTAACTACATGAAAAACAAATTTTTCGGGGTGGGTGGAGCTGTTGACAGCAGACGAGATGACAACAGAAGCGGCGAGGACATTGTCAGTTAAAAGAACAACATGATGAAATGAGGGGTCGGTAAGGCGAGAAACAAATTCAGGCGAAGGTAAGCGGGAGCGAGCCATTGCATTGACAGCATATTCTTCAGCTAGTATGAGAGAGAGGCATTGTAGGCTCTTTGGTATGCCATGAGAAGCTAAATGCCAGTTGATGTACTCATGCCGCCTTGCCGATTGAACCATTTGTTCCATCTTAGCCATCTGCAATTGTAGGAAGTAGAATAAAATACACATTGAATCTCCATGTAGTTTACTAAAGAGCAATTCATTTTTAGACCACGTCTTATTTAATAACATCCTTTTGCAAGATGCACTCATAGGACTGCAGCGCAATGTTTATTTCTGTATCATGTGTGATGTACCGCTGCAAAATGTTTGAAGTGTCAGCAACCAATACTGGTTGATAATATGTGCATTATGCACAAGTCATAGGCATGATTTGACTGAATAAAGTGTGGGAGCTCTATGTGTCCTGTGATGAAATACAATAGATCCTTGGTAAAAGTAAAAATTACTACATCAATTAGGAATGCCGTCCAATATCTTTCACAGGAACATGGAAACTATTAGGAAGGAATTTCCGAATCTAAAAGCTTTCCATCCTTCCTCCCAATGAGGTAATAATGGAAAGGAAAACCATTAATCAGACAGTATTATGTCTTAACGAAATCAAGAAATCAGTCATTCACCTTTACAATATAACAATTTAGGTTTAAATAGCAAACTTCTGTAGAAAAGCGCAAAACAGTAATACTACTTAATATCTGTCCTAAGTATTGGATTCGTGATGTTTTTCCCAAATTTGAGAGGAACGTACATCAAGACCAACTAGTCAGTCGTTCTAATTTTATTCGTTAAAGGCTCAAAAGAGTGGAATCAGGTGGGGGGAAAAAGAAAAAGTAAATGAGGTATGATATAAAAACTTAATGTACGAGAGCTTTCTATGGTCCCATGATGACAAACATTAGAATATAGCCCCTGGAAAGAATACAATATTACTACATCAGTCAGAATGCCATCCAATATCTTCCAGGAAAACAGAAACAACGGGAAAGGACTTCCAACTCTAAAAGCTTTGTATCCTTATCAACCCCAATGATGTAATATTGGATAGGAAAAATGATTGAATAGAGGGTGTTATACTTTTAACCAAACCAAGAAATCAGTTATTAACGTTGACAATAACAAATCTCATCAGGCTTGAACAGCAAATGTGCATAACAAAGGCATAAGGGTAAATATTGCTTATGCTATGTCTTATTTATCTAATCTATGATGTTTGGCCCAAAATTGATAGGAAAATACATCAGAATTGACTAGTCAGTGGTTTCTATATAAATTATTGTGTCAAGGGCTCAAAACAGTAGAATCAGGGGAAGAAAGAAAATAAGACATGATAAGACGGAATAAAGTATGCAAGCTTTCTGAGGTCCTCTAATGACAAATCTATGATATAACAGATCCTGGAAAAATACAACATTACTAACATCAATTAGGAACGCCATCCAATATCTTTCACAGTATCGTGGAAACAATTGCAAAGGAATTTCCAGCTCTAAAACCAGTGAATTCTTCTTGACATTTAAGTTTGAAAGGAGACCTTTAGCTGACAATGCTTGTTATATGAATAATCAGTATGTTAGGTGCATTGATCAGCCATTAAATTATCTTTCCCAAACTGGTGCAAGTGACACAAAGTTTCCTGGTTGCATAAGCTAAATTACCATATTGCTGAATTTGCAAAATGATTGCCAGCCATTCACCAGGTGTTATTCATTTACTTTGCATGGTTGATATCTTTTCCAATCAAAGGAAGGGTCTTCGATTTTACATGAGGTTTCAGAGTAAAAAATTACATGTCATGAATATTTGATAGCCACTATGCCAAAAAACAGCATTAGAACTGATTTAGAAACTTTCAAAAGTAGTAACTCAGTCGGTTGATTATAAGGGCCATGCTTTGCTTAAAACTACTACCATGGAAAAGAATATTAAGAAGGACAAAAGAAAATAGCTTATTAATTGTCTAAATCACAACTAGAGAAAACCCTCAGGTTGTTTTATTTCCCTTTTATCACAACTAGAGAAAAGTATGGTTTACAAGTTTAGGATGAAAATATATTAGGACCACGCAAAGGATTATACACTTAAAAGTGGGCAGGCTTTTATTCAGGCGAAGGGGTAGGCGCCAGACTATGGATATGGCTACGAGATAAAACAGACTCACAAATAAAGAGCCACAGAACCACAAAAGCAAAGTACTCTAGAGGATATATTCGTTACCATAGCTTTGGTCTTGAAAGCGAACGTTTTTATGTCCTGTTTGTTTGATGTCACATCTTTCACAAGATCCTTAAATGACGCTGGCAGCAAAGTTGGATCTTCTATTTCTCTAATTCCAATCTGACCATCGGTGCTGCTTGTCTCCAGTAAGGCCCTTGTCAGCTCTTCTCTGAGCTTTTTTAACAGTACCAAAAATTCATCATCACCATCGCTAGAAGACAAAATAAATTAACTTACATCATATCCATGAGAATTTTATCTAGAAAGGATGAATTTTTCAATCCGTGTTTATGTGTGGTCATACTATGGCAAGAATGTTAGTTACATCATATTTAGCCTCATCCAGAACAAAGTAATACCAGTAGGTGACACCCTTTATCCCCTCACTCAAGGAGTATGAATTACCTTCTGCTGCATTGATCTGTTACACAACAGTTTCGGGAATAAAATATATGTTTATCACTTTAACTCAACCACTACATCACACAACTAATAAAATATATGTTTATCACTTAACCATAACCGGTTACAGATAATTGTTTAATTTAATTTTTTGTTTGATTTTAATGATATTTTATTGTATTAGCTTTTTTAATTTACTATTACTAGATTGTGTTGCCAAATAATGAATCTACATTCATTAGTTTAATTTAAGATTTTGTATCCTTTTTTTTATCACTTGCACACACATCGAATGCGCGCGGATCACTAGTACTCATAATTTACATATATGCTGCATCACACATCACATACTGTCAGTTGTTTGGGGTTAGCAGAAGTCAAGAATTGTTATTGCAATAAAATAGTATTTTAATTAAGAACCAGTGGCAAGTGGGCCTAGATTAATACGATGGGTATTCAACAGAAAACTGTCGGCCAAAACAACTAGTGGAAGTCATTACCAGGGTCCCCCATAATAGCTCCTTCACGGCATTGTCTAGAATTTGTCCCATACGATAAGGGTCAAAAATGGCATGAAAAAACATATTTCTATTACGCAGCATCTAAAAATATTTGTGCTTCCATCTTTGTTATTTACACTCCCACTATTATTTTAATCATATATTTTTTATTTATTAGATTATATGATAAAACAAATGGTATGAGTGCAAACAACAAAAAATAAAATGTAAATAATATTTTTCAAAACAAATTATAAGTCACAAATAATTCCCAAATCAAGTAGTCCCGATAATTAGATGGAGAGGCATATTAGGTTGCCGGCTGAAAATTATGGCTGATAAATTTATCTCAATATGGTGTTTATAGTGTAAAAAAGAATTATACAGCAGAAGAAATTAAACTATATATTTGCATGTCGTCGACCAACTTGTTTAATGGATTTGACTATTTTCACTACACTAATATTAGCCTATTGGTCCACGCAATTTGACAACTTGTCATCCCAAACAAACATGGCAAGTATGGTTTCACTTTTCACACTATTTTGTACCATTGTTATGAATTATGATCGAGATAGGCTGGTGGGCTAGAAAAATGTTCTGTAGGATATACTTGTTTGCTTTCAATCTAAATGTACAACTCTGCAAGTAGCTAAAGAGACTTCTTCCACCCAAAATCTAAACTTCGTTGTTCAAGCTAAAAGGAAAAGGAAATTTCTATTTGAAATCTTCAAGAAATTATTTCAAAGTGGCAAGCATCACATAACAATGACAATAACGTGCAAGTCATGATGAGAAAACAACATGCATTTTGTGTGCCAAGTGGCTGAAACTTGAAAGATGGAATAACAGTAGTCAGATTGGCAATTGTAAAGCTCCTTTAAAGTCAAAGGAGCAACTTTGTGCAACATTTTAAAGAAAAGGTAAAAGAAAGTGAAAAACCACATCGTCCTTAAAATTACCACTAACACTACAAAACTTCCCCAAATTTTCTTGGCCATATTCATACGGTCACAATTTTGTCGTCATTAATTTCTGGCAATGCTTGTGAAACTAACAAGACAAGTGAGGTTCGCGTGAATTCTCTATTTGTTTATTTCTTTTCAATCATTCCGCCAAATATTCCATGACAAAATTCAGGCACGCCAGTCAAGCCTTGCCATCAGTTAAAAAGAAAATAATTCTCCAAGGCTTATCCAAATTCCAAAGCTACCCCACACGCCGAGTTGGCACAGGAGACGTGGTAATGCCGTAATGGTGGTACAACTATAGCATCTTGTCGTGCTATTTTGTTTTTAACTTTGTAAACCACTAAAACAATTAAACAATACCACAATAAACTAAAGAAGGGTAAACTTGTCAAAAAGGTGAAGGTTAAAAAAATAACTTACCAGAGCCGGATCATTCCCGCCGAAAATCCTCCATCCCATGCAATCTACAGATGGGGGATGAAAAAAATAATTCACCGACACATTATTAATTTTTTATTTTTCACCCCAAAATAAATACTACTCATATTTACCAAATTGTTCACTACGTTGGACTGTGAAATTACGGAAAGACCAGGGAGAAGAGAGAAATTTACCTAGAGAAGAAGAGCAAAACGAAGCCGATTCAAGAACGACAAAAGCAGTTCTAACAAAAAGAAAGGGCAAAAGTAATCCTAACGCCAAAACCACAGGCAACAACACCCTGCGCCGATATATCCGCCGTGTTCCTCCTCCCGCGGCCGCCGATCCTTTCCCTCCTTTCATTGCTCCTCTTCCGCCTCCGCCCCCGCCACCTGCCTCCGAGATCGTCAATCTATTTATACCTCTCGCCGATATATAAAACTTCATTCTCTCCGGTTTTTTTATAAAAAATTTTCTCCGCTCTCTCACACTTTCCGCTTCTTTTTCCTGGAGAAAATTCCCATCTCACTTCTCAATTACTTCAGCTCCAGATCCCTACACCTGAAAGAAAACATACAAATTAGCTGAATTATCAGTTTCCATCAATGAATCAGTCATTCAATCAATCAGCTGCTTGCTGATCTCAGCTGAAAGTTACCTTGTGGATTGAATTTCACAAGTTTAGTGCGTCTTCTTTGCTCCTATGCAGAGGTTGGATTGTTCGAAGGGAGTGGGAAATCGAGGATATTTTAAAGACCACTCAGCCGAGTTGAGTTGAACAGAGAGTTCTTGGAGATGAGTAGGAAAATGGTTTTTGTTTTTCTTTGTTTGAGAAAGAGAATGAGAGAGAGACTGAAAGAGTGAGTGTGTGAGTGGGTGTGTGGGCCCGGGAGGGGGACTAGAAGGCAAAAAAGCCAAAACTAATGCCGCGTTGAATGCCGCGGGAAAATAGGAGGATCATTTCTGATTTTCTTTTTTTTTTTTTTTCGGTTTTAGTCGGGGTTGAAATTTTGAAGAAATGGCGGTATTTATTGTTTAGAATCTTTTATATTCTTGTTAAGATGGAATGGATGGTGCTACTTATGCTTATCCATAGAGTTTTGGAAAATGACGTCGAACAAGAGGTAATTGACTAATTGATGCATAGTTATTGATTAGGGACAAAAAATTTTAAAACAATAGTTGGAAGAATTTAAATTCTTGAGAGTATGGTTGGATAGATGATTATTTATAAAAAAAAATTTTGAAACAATGCTATATCACATTTTATGATATTATTTATTTAAGACAGGTGATTGAAAAAAATATATTTATGTTGCGAACAAAAGAGATACTTAAAACTTAATAAGGCTGTTTTCTATTTGGTACCGTCCTATTAAGCATATTAATAAAGAAAAGTAGATCAACTATTACTATTTTAATATTATCACCCACCCTTTAAATTGCAATATTTTTGCACATGAAATTTATCCTTTTTTTCTTACAAATATATATATATATATATATATAAAACATTTAATCCAATTTTTATTTGGTAAGCTTGTCTAAATAGACAAACCCTTGTTATAAATGGATGCAAAAAATTGAACGTTCACCCCTTTCTATCATGAGAATGTCTTACGTTTGAACGCTTACTAATAAATTTTTTTTCCAAAGAAGAAATGAAAAGAATTGATTCCCTTCTGCATTATACATTATACATGTATGTATGTATATATATGCATGTATGTATGCATGCATGCAATCTTTAAATGTTTTCATTGGCCCCCTTGCATTTTACCTCGTGTGTAATGCCTTACTAATATATACTTCCTCCCTTTTTTTATAACTGACGTTTAAGGTTTTGCACACCAATTAAGAAAAGTTTTTCATTGTTTAAATCTATACACTACTTTCCTTTTGTACCCTCATTAATTGTCCAATTCACTCATGTTTTCTCTCACTAGAGTATTAAATGATGCTATTTTACTAGGCCAAAAGCAAAGAGAGAAGTAATAATTAGTAAGAGTAGTAATTAAGAGCCCTGTATTGGTAAAGAGAGATAAAAGGGTAAAATTGTGAAAAAAAAATTAATGCTGCATGGGGATAATACAACGACAGATAAAAATACTTAAGAGCAAATTTCTTAAACGTCAGTTATAAAAAAAGGGAGGGAGTAGGGAGTACTTGTCTTCCTTTGTAGCTTCTCTTCGCCATATCTCTTTTTCACATGCATGTAATATACAATAGATTAGATCAAAGGAGGAAGGAGGTTGAAGATGGTGAGAATTAGGGTCTACTGCTTTAAACACGTTAAGACCAATTTTTATCAACTCAAGGAATGATAATGATTGCCTTTCTTGGATAACCAGCTGGCTTCACATTCTCTTGTTTCACCATCAGCCAAGAATAATCTGCTGACAATTGTTGGTTGTGACGTTTGACAGGTGCAGCTTAATTCTTTCTTTATAAAACCATGCAAAATTATGATACATCTCATCTTAAATGCTGCTAATAAAAAAGATTACTACGTAGGTCTCGTGTATTTCTCTAAGCAATTTCCACCGACACAGGGTAACACCAACGTGCAGAAAGCTGAAAACATTTTGGTCCAACGTTGAAATTCTTATGTGAATTCCTCAAAAAAAACAAAAAAAAAAATTATATGAAAAATGGAGAAAGCTGTGCCGACTAAAAGTTTCAGTGCATAAAAGCAAACCTATGGAACGGAATGATGATCTCAATTGAGATTCTAAAATTTAATTAAAGATGTTGTGTTGAAATTTTCTTCTCACCTTTTCCGTCTGTCAGCATCTTGAGTCCGACTCTTCTTCCTTCCTCTGTTAAGAAATAAAAAAGATGATCATGTTAGATGACTAAAATAAGCTAAAGCATAATACTAAGATCCCTCCACAAAATTGTGCTGAAAAGTGAAAGCCTCGATATTGTTAACACTTCTCCATTAACAAATCACACTGCTTAAAATCCAGTCCTTCGTGCTCCTGCCTTCACACGACTTTAATTGAAATGATAAGGCTAATTAATTGCATGGACCGACCTAAATTTAGATGGGAGGTTTTGACATTAAATGTGCTCGTATTTTGTGCTTCATTTGGTTCCCCATCAAACTCCCTACCACATTACTCTCAGTCTCAGGGGAAAAAAAAAAAGGATTTGCCACAAAAATAATTTAATTGTTCACTTTCGATTTCCACTGGTCGCCTCCAAGGATTAGCTCGAGTGGTCAACTCCTTCTCTTTAGGGTATGATAGATTTACCTGGGCAACTAGGGTTCGAGTCCCCCTTGCTACCGTGCTCGGAATGGAGTGGAGCCTCCACTCTTGAACCGAAGTGGGATTAGCCGGGCCAAAAGGCCCGAAAACCCACTCCGTCAGAAAAAAAAAAAAAAAAAGATTTTCACTGGGCTATATGGCTAGTGAGTTTAGTCTTCCTATATGTGTCCTTGCAATCTGTTGATTTCCTTGCGTTCATGATTAGGTTTAATCATAGCTTTCAATGTGTCTATTTTCTAGACAGGCTTCGCTGCCAAAGTGGCAATACTGTACTGTTTTTGGAGAATTTTGTTTTTTTGTCGATTTTCTATATTTTGTTTTTTTGGAGAATTTTGTTTGTCATGGTGGTATTTAGCTGTCCCAAAAATATATGGTGCCAGGCAGCTAAATGAAGCTTTTTTCTCTGATAGTCCGTGTAGAACATGCTTGCGACAATTATTGAGCAAATGGGGCTTCCTTTTCATTTTTTTCTAAAATAACTTGTGATTGGCTTGCAACAAACATCAGAGCCTGTAGGGTGGCTGCCCCTCCACTTGAGAATGCTCTCTTGAAGAATTTACCAAAAAAAAAAAAAAATTGGAAACATGGACTTTTTTGTGCTAAAGTTTAAAGAATACCAAATCATCCTAGGAAACATATGGACATGTGAGTTTGGAATGGTGCATTGGAAAAGTGAACAGCATCTTGTAATTCATCCTTTCCTATCACAGCAGAATGTTAGCAAGCTCTTGTTTGCTTTTGCATGGTTTTACCAGTAACGGATAAAAGCACTGAGACAAATATACCTCGAAATTTCATGCAAAACCTTGAAACTGGTGTTTTGTGCAAGTTTAAATGTAATCTTCAAGAATTCATATTCATATAAAGCTCCAAGCAATGCCATTAGTATCAAATTAATTCCTAAATCCTAATTAATTGCTCTTTTGTGTATTTATCCATTTTCTTTTCATATAGTTTGCTCCCTTTTTTTTTTTTTTTTCTATTTCATGATGGTTAATTAAACTTGTAACTCCTTGAGTTGATCATTTACTTCCATGCATAAAAGAACCATAGAATTAATGTTGCTAAATTTATTAACCATTTAGCTTCTATTTAGGTCCAGAAATTGGAATGGCTTAGTTTTACAAAAGATATTAAACTTACCTTCTTGAGTAATTTTTTTTTTTAGTTACATAAAGAACTTCCCTCAATAATAATAATAAAAAGAAAAGGTCTCTGTGAGTCTCATTTTTGTTTCTTAAATTGTAGTGGTCCCTTTGCAGTCTTTAATTTTGTCATAACGTGTAACGTACGTAAATCTTCTCTAGCGGCTGATGCAATCAATGTTAAAAATCACAAATTGGTATGCATCAAGTAAGCTTGTGTATGAACAAAAAATTGAAGTGCAAGTTCTAAGATGTATGGCTAGAAAATGCAAAATTAATTGGTTAATTAAACACTTCCTTGGCAAATTGTTGAGGACAAAAAAACCACAGTACCACATTGCATGATTGGTGGTAACTCAGATTGCAAATGAGTCGAATCGAGTCGAATTTTGATTTAATCGAACCGATCTTCGACTTAATTTTATCGAATTCGAACTTGATGAACTCTCAATGTAAAACTCGAGTTTAAAAAAATTTTAAAAAAATATTATACTTTTTAAAATTGAATAAAATAGTAATTTTTCTTAATAAATAATAATAATTATTATGAATATATATAATTTTACTATATATATATATATACATAATTGAGTCTGTTCACAGACTAACAAATTGAGTATCCTTGAATTCAAATAGTTTGAGTTCGAACACGACTCGAGCTCATCAGCTTGTTAGGGCTCGACTCGTATTCAGCCCCTGTGACAACAACCATTGATGCAATCTCAAGTAACAGTAGTCCTGTCATGCTCAACACCACACAAAATCTGCAATTTGCCCCAGTTGAAGTCAAACAGAATTTAATGGGATTGGGAGACGTGGCTTGACGAAGATGATCATCTCATGGTCAGGCAACTTTGGGCTCCCCACATTGAAAATCAAGAAGCAAACCGTCATGCTGTTCTCACGTTGATGTCTAGAATATGTATGAACCAGCAACCATTTCTGCTAGGCGCTAGCTAGAAACGGGGAATTTTCTTGGTCCACAAACCCGCAGAAAGACCCACCTTTGCACCTTTTCCATTGAATTGTGTCCACCTTAGTCCAAGCCTAGCAACGTGCAATGTGTAAACCTGGCAAACTTTGTCAGAAAGAATGAGCATGAAATCTCATGACTCGATCGACTTTTACTTATTTTTTGTACCAATATAAATAGGCAGATGATATTAGTACTCCCAAAAAATAAATCTAGGCACTCCTGCCTAGTTTTTTGTTTTTCTTAAAGGTCTAATTTTCCGTGACTTAAGCATGTGTGATAGAAGTGCTTCTTTATAACTACTACTCCGGTTGGGGTCTTAACTAGTTAACGAAAGAGCTTTAGTGGAGGGACTAATTTGGAAGTTTTCTGGACCTTTTGATGTGCTGTGCTCCCAGCTTTTGAAGGTTAAAGCGCATACATAGGCCCCTCCACACTTGGGATCCTCGGTGACATGTTAACCTGCTAACCTGCTGAACGGCAAAACTCTTTCATTTTTGCCTCGGAAAGATCCTTCACCTGAAACCACCACAAATAACCGGAGGATTTGATGTATGTGCTCTAAAAGAAGCTCCTTGCAGTCCTCCTATTGATGATAATGGAGTACATGAAACTTTTCTGTAATTCTGTTCTTTTAACCTTGGATAAAAAAAAAAAAAAAAAACAAGGTCCAATTATTTATCAACCCTGCGACGTGAACATGATGATGATAACTTGCTATGCACAAATTTGCATGTTATGTAGGGTCACAACTTTATTAAGGGTCTGTTTCTCTCCAACCACTTGAAACATGATAGAGGCCATAGCCACATATCAATGCATCGTTGCTTCTGGTTATTTATCATCCCTACGCTCACACATTGATACTGCAGCAGGATCAGTGATCCTGCTTTCTGTTCAGTACTTCTTGTCCTTTCAACTATACAAATTAAATACACGTTTGTTGGAAATGCCTAGCTCCTCAGGAGCACAAACTTTCAGAATTTTACCTTAACTAGAATGGGATACTTTTATTGAGGTATAACACTACATTAATTGCCATCATCTGTTATGTATAATATGCCATCAAATCCTTTTCTTTGGAAAGTGGCCTCCTCCTAATGTTATAATCTTGGGTGATGATATTCACTCACCATCTTTAATTTGTTGCACAATTTTATTTTATTTTTTGGCCATAGTACTCACGCGCATGTAGAATAGTGCAAAATACATAATACTATACATCATCAGGTTGCGCAAGAAACTGTTTGGAGCATGTATATGTCATTCTCCCATGACTTGATGATCCTGTTGAAACAAGCTTTTCTTGCCACTTAGCACTGTTACCTCCAATTCATCATCGCTTTCTGAGCCATTTTCTCTTTCTATGCATGTATAATAATGCTTGTTTTGTGCATGAAATCAGAAGGGCTCTGCAAATCTCACTGGCTCCTTTTCCCTTTCACAACATTCAATGCTGTCAATTTTTTCAGGACAAATGCCAATTAAATTCACTAGTTAGTTGGTGAAAATTGGCCACACTGTTTTACTAGTTAGTTGGTGTTTGTGGAAGAGGATGAAACAGAGAAACTGGTATTGGGAAACTAGTAAATTCACCAACTTTTCACGTTGAGAAGGCTTACTGTGTCCGTCTCAAACTGTAACCTCCTTTTCAAAGCCCAGAACTTGAAGTGTTCTGCTCCAGAAAGGGATTAATGCTTCGTGGTAGTTGTGTTCTGGACCATATGCAAATGGTACCGTGCAGTACCATATCACCAATGCCATTAGTCCAAGGGTCTTGAACTGATCAGAGTACAAGGACCATGTGCCACAGTACAGCAATTGGTAGCCAAGAGTTTCACCAGACACTCAAAAAGAAGTATTTCTGATACTCAAAGATTTGTGTCCCTGTTGTCACTTTAATTATTGTGCGAATGTTGATGCTAAACCAATTTTGCTCCAGGCTCATAGGTCTTCCATTGCTAGCTAAACCAATTTTGCTTCAGGCTTATAGGTCTTCTATTGCTGGTTCAGTGAAGGCATAAAACACTAATCTTTACCAAGGAGAAGTACGACCAAGGCAAGAAATCAAAACAGGACGATATCCAGTGAAGTATTCATCAAACATAAAATTAGTTAAGGAGGCAATTGCATTGTGGAAAGATCTCAAGTTATTCCATTTAAAAATCAGCCCATTGCATTGAAAAGCATTACTGCATCAAATCTGCTATGCCCTCTAATGTTTACCATCATACTCTAATAAAATTTGACCACATGAATTGAATGATTTTGTATTGTTTCATTATGCAATTTGGACTGACAAATTACAAAACAATCCCATAGGCCAATGATAGTAACTATTATCCCGAGAAGCAGTCAAAAGGAGTGTAGTAGATTCATTATTAGAAGGTAAATTACACACACATACACAAAACCCAAAGGGAGTTGGGAAAAAAAAATAGAGTTTCTTATAGAGGTATAATATAATGTTACAGTTCCAATAGTGTAATCATCAGATACAAAATATGCTCCGAGCAATTTACTTCTGCTATCACTAGAACACTTCAATTTTAGAAATACACAATGTAACATAATTTGGGATATCTAGGTCTTTCCTTGAGTATATAGTGAAAATTGGCCACAATGTTTTTTATACATCAAATGGCAGTTCCAGCAGTCAAGTTTTTCTTGTTGGGTTTAAAGACATACTTAATCAGAGATTCCCTGATGGACAATAATTCAGGAAACTCCTTTTTCAGCTTGGATGCATCCATCTCATTATTACTGCGAGGGGCTACAATAACCTTGGCCTGTTCTTCAAGGGCGAAATTTGTCCACTTGAATTTTGGATCAATGTAGGCCCTGTACATCTCTAATATCTCATTGTGACTTATAACACCTGGGTTAGTAAAGTTCCATATGCCCTTGCAGTTCCTCTTAGCCATTTCAATTGAAATTGGCAAAAGTTCATCCAACACAGTCATGCTGTTGGGGATGTTTACAACTTTGTCATACTTTGCAATCTTTGTGATGAAGTTGCGTGGGTTATTAAGATCAGATGATATTGGCATTCGAACTCTAAGGGTGCATACATTATCATATTCTTTCAAGAGTTCTTCAACCTGCAAAAGACAAAGACAGAATGTAAAATTTGGCTAATGTCATCGGTGTGCCCATCACAAGAAATATGAAAGTTGACGATCATAAATTAACATACCATGGCCTTGGTTTTCGAGTAGAATGAACCAGTAAAATTAGGCTTGTCTTCTTCCTTAAATCCAGTACCTGATCCAAGGGGGTGGCCAGCATCATATTCAAATATGCATCCTGTGGCAAAATTCATCATGAGAAGCCCATGTTCTCTACAAACATCTGCCAAGGTTAAAGTACCAACAACATTGGTACTAATGGTCTCTGGTTTATGAGACTCGCACCAATCCACATTCGGCCTACCAGTTACTCCAGCAGCATTGAGCACATGAGTTGGCTTAACATTCTGAATGTCTGCAAGTAGCTGTACTCTGTCTTGAAGTCGCCCTTTACCATAGTTGTATGCTATCCCCTGTTTGTCACATATCTTTCCAAGAAGGCCTCCTATCCATCCAGTCCTACCATAGATCAAGAACTTTAAGGATGACTTTCGGGCATGATGAATATTTTTGCTACTTGGATTCACCATTCGCTTCAGAGCAGAATTGTTTGAGACCGAAGATGTATCGATAGAGCCAACATCAGAACTACTTTTTCCCATTCCAGGCATCATCAGCATCCGTGGATGAGGAACCAAAGCACCAGATACATCTCCCCACCAATCAGGATTCTTAACATACCATTCCATGGTTTTTCTAAGGCCTTCTTCCCATGTAGTGCGCTCTGACCACCCCAAATTATTTAGCTTTTCATGATTTAAAAAGTACCTCTGGTCATTGAAGGGCCTGTTATTGACAAACTTGATCACTGCATTCGGATCCAACGAGAAAAGCTTGCAAATATCGCTCGCAACATCAAGAACTCTCCTCTCTTTATCGGTCCCAATGTTATAGACATGGCCTACTTCACCTTTGTGTAGAATGATTTCAAAAGCCTCTGCAACATCCTCACAATAAAGATAACTGCGTACATTGGAACCATCACCATGAATGGGAAGATTCTGTCCCTTCATTGCCAAAAGAATGAATTTGGGAATTAACTTCTCAGGGAACTGATTTGGCCCATACACATTGTTTCCTCTTGTAGTTATCACAGGTAAACCATATGATCTTCCATATGCCATAACAAGCATTTCAGCCCCGGCTTTAGTTGCAGAGTACGGGTTTGTAGGGAGGAGTTGAGAAGCCTCATGATTCCCAACAACAGCATCCTCATCTGTCTCCCCATAAACCTCATCAGTGCTGACGTGAATAAACCTCTTGATATTTCCAGTGACTTTGCAAGCCTCAAGAAGGACATGAGTCCCATAAATATTGTTTTTCGTGAACTCAAAGCTGTTTCCAAATGAGTTGTCAACATGAGTCTGAGCTGCAAAATGCATAATTGTATCGATTGATTCCGTGAGAAGAATGTGATTAACAAGATCAGCACTGGCAATGTCTCCCTTGACGAACTTGAAATTTGGAGATGAACAGGAGGGGTCGAGATTTTTTTTATTTGAGCAGTAGTCAAGCTTGTCAAGAACCACAATCTTGTAACGGGGATAGTTCCGGATGAGTCTATTGGCCACATGACAGGCAATAAAGCCTGCTGCACCAGTAATAAGGATGTTCTCGGGCTTGTATGTTGCCATATCCAACAATTTCTGAAAGATAACGAAGAGAAAATTAATTGATAAATCCAGAAGATTAAAATGTGCACAGAAAGAAATGCACTGTAGTAAACAGATGTATCAAACACGCAAAAAGCACATAATTCAAGGAGAAGGTGAACTTTCATGTCAGAGATTCAACTACCAATCCTACAGACTTAAATAAAAAAATAATAATCAAACCTATTCGAACTGGTTACAAAAGAAGAAACAAAAATGATGACTTGGTTCCAAATCTTGATCCACGGAAGAAATTCAAAGAAATTTCTAATCACATTTAGGTTCCAAAAGCGAAAGCAAGTACTTTTAAAAACCCAATCACTATTCTCTAGTTGATCATGAAGTAATTAAGCTAAAGATTCAGTCCCTTAAATAGAATAACAGGTAACAACCATCTTTTATGGTAAAGATTTGCCCATTCAACTTGGATATCAAGCTTCGGGTTCAGCAGCTCCAACCTTAAAAAAAAATGTGAGGGTGCACATGGAAATCCCAGTTGTGTTGTAACACCAACATGACATCTAGAGTTCTGGACCAAGTGCTAAAAGAATACAAATGTGATTCAGCATTCACATTTTTGGAACTTTTGACTAAAAGCAATCGATTTTCAATCACCTTTTAGATATAAACGTTGTTGCTGCAACCATAAACGAGTATATAACCATGATTTTCAATCGATTATACATCCACAACACGTGCAGTTGCATGCCAAACGCACAAGAATAATTCAATCCACCCTCAAATTCATAGAGAGATTGACTTTAACAGTTTAACATGAATGAATAAGCATTCAATAAAATAAGAGAGAGTAACAATTCAATTTTCAAGCTGGTAAGACAAGATACATTACTAATTGCACGAAATATATTAACTATAATCAGAATTCAAATTGGTAAGTTAGAGTCAACCAGAATTCGGGTTTTCTTGGAAAATTACAATGAGCATGTATGAATGTACTTGCACAGAAAACGAAAGTTTGCACTTACGAGATTAGGCTTCAAGAACGATTGCTAGTTAAACAAGAAGTTTATTTTGAGTAATGGGTTGTGCTGATCAGTCGAAGAAGAAGAAACTAAGGGTCAATTATCAGGGATGAAAAAGCTAGCGGGTTGAGCAGAGAAGGTAAGGGCAAACTTTGCTATTTATAAGCCTTCATGGAAGAGCAAACCTGCCTCCTCTCCTTTCCTCGTCCAATTCTGCTAACAACTCGATTCCAGTGCATTTTCAACATGTCCTACTCCAGCATTAAAGTACCTCAATATTTACTTATCATAGAAAAAAGAGCAATTAAATGTCTCCCAATAGAGTTCTTTCGTTGTACGTATCTGCCCATGTTCATTCTTCTCGTACTTCCATGTAATTTCAATCAATAATGATTCAAGAATTGTTGTTGGTGAAATTCATTTAAGTGTAATGATAGTTGACATATTGTACTCTGATTGGGCTAGAGGGCCTGTGCGTGAAACCTTCTCTTTCTCTTCTGTTTACGTTAGCCGTTAGGTTTCTAAACAATTTATACTTATCTTAATCCTAGCTAGAAACTATCATATTTATTGTCCTATAAGGCATAAATTAAATGTCTGTCACTGAATTGGTAAGAGTCAAAACAAATATGGGCAATATGGACATGTGAGTATACACACATTAATTTGGCATGGCAATAGATTAGATAGGAAATCCCATGAACCACCAAAAAAAAAAAAAAAAAACTTTTTTCTTTTCCTTTTTCTTTTTTTTTTGGGTTTTTTTTAGCCGCCCGCCCCGGGGGAGGGGGGCTTAAATTATTTTACTTATGTTACACACTTCAAGCATTTTTGAACGAATGCTATCCTAAATCTATCATTTAAAATATGGAAGTGTAGAAGTCTAACAAGAAATTGCATATTCTTTAACTATAAAATGGTAAATTAATACTTGAATGTACAGGTTTTACTAAATGTGAACAACGAAATTCTTAATATACCGCATAAAATTTAAAAAAAAAACTTAGAAGGCTACAGAGTAAAAAAAAAAAAAAAATCATTACCATCTTACAATTTGGTGATATGTGTTCAAAGACATATAGTTAAAAAAAAAAAAAAAAAAAGACAGCCTAGTTTTATTATCAAAAGGAAAAGTAGCACAGCAGCAATGAATTTATTGTTTTCTCTTTTTTTTTCCTCCTCTTAAAGTTCTTAATTTTTATTTATTACGTATTCGTGAAGGACTTTAAGACCAGGGCCTCAAACGAGGCTTTGAACGCTCATTTTCTTTTTTTGCATTGGCAATAAATAATAAAATGGAAGTCCAATTAACAAAAATTTTTATCACAAATCTTGTAAATAATTTGATATATGAGTTATAATCCATATGTTTTAGTTTGTACTTAAATCGTTCTAACAGATATTGCAATGTTACCACAACCACGTAAATGGTTAAGATTTTGCTATTTAAAGGAGATAAAAAGGATTTCCTACTATCTAATAGCATGTTTCTGCAGATCTTTAGTTAACATCAAATTTTTCTGCAGATCATTAGTTAAAATCAATCACACAGTTTATACATACCATGACACTAACCTAAATTAACAACTATAAGAAATCAACATCCAGCAACAGATGAACATAATTTGAAATATCTCTACCTTTTATATGGCCCATGATGACCGACTTGAAACACAAGAACTTTTACTTTTGCTTATGTATTAACTTTCACTTAGATTAGGGCTCAATAACTTGAGTTTTTCAATCTTGTTATTGTGAATTTGAGAAATTTATTCTAATCGATTCGAAAAAAAAAATGTTTTCTTAGTTTAGCTGCCTTCCACATCAATCCTAATGTACTTTGAGTGTTCTTGAATTCTTATTTAGTTCCTTTGAGTGATTGACTTCTTATTGACCAATAATATCAGATTTTATTTCAGCAACCAGCAACACATCAGTTTGCCCATTTGTTTCTCCTGACCACATTGTCGACTATGACCTTGTGGAGAATAATTAAAATTAAGTAGGGTTTTGTTAAACTTTATGGGCTGTGATATTAACCTTTGTGTGAAATTTTCAGAACTTCATTCTTTTTTGGATAAAATACCAAAGAACTCTATGTGGTTTACTAAATGTTTAATTTAACTCCCTCTGATTTGGAAACCTACACTATAATTCCCTGTGGTTTCAACTAATTTGAAAATTGGACGGAAAGCATCCAATTTAACGGTTATACATGAAATGTCAATATTTCTCCTATATAAATGAACTCCCTATGGTTTGTTGAATGTTTAATTTAACTCCCTTTAGTTTGAAAAATTACACTATAACTCCCTGTGATTTCGATTAAATTGAAAATTGAATGGAAAGAATCTTACATATAGTAGGGGTAATATTAACATTTCACCTACAACCGTTAGATTGGATGCTTTTTGTCAAATTTTCAAACATCACAGAGAGTTATAGTGTAGGTTTCCAAACTAGAGAGAGTTAAATTGAACATTTATCAAATCACAGGGAGTTTTTTGGTATTTTACCCTTCTTTTTTTCTTGTGAAGTGGAAACGCATCATTCTTCCAGTCAAAGTAGATATAAATTGCTTACCATAGAGTGAAAAAAAAAAAAAACGAGTAGAGTGATACAGTTTGAAGTTTAGACATCATTGACCCATAAATCTGCATAAAAAAATGCTTAGTTTAAGGTTACTTGAATGAAGTGCACTCAAGAATCATGTGGAAGAACTTATAGAAAACTGCAAACCAGATACCTGAAATAAAAAACTATAAACAACACAAGGAAACACCTACTTTTAAGGAAACACCAAGTGCAAATACTCAACAATCACGTTAGAGAACTTATGAAAACAGCAAACTAGATGTCAAAAATAGGGGTAAGGGGTTCACACCAGTGTGTAAAATTAATCTTTAATCGTAACAAATTGTAAATTATATGTTTCATCATTTTAAACCATTTTGTATAACAGGAAAAGATTTTGGGCCACTATTATATCGATTCCACACGTAACCTTAAAAGCAATATGCATCTTCTAAGATCCTCGAATTTTAAGCCAAATCTCGCGGTTTTAAAGGTTGGGAAGAGTTGAGCTTTATCAAGTTGTTCCTGCACCGTTGTCAAGAAATAGAGTCATGAACAAATGCATTGGAGATACCATTAATAAAAGATATTTAAAAAGAAGAAGAAAATGGAGGTGCATATTTTAACTCATGAACTATATCGAGTGCCTCTGTTTCTTTATTCAAGAAGTCTAATCAGTAGCTTTGCCTGAGCTTTAAGTTTATTAATTTGGCCATATCCTAAGCCGGGGCTCATGCATCTTGTTCACTTTGCTTCCCAGTTAGCCTAGTTATGAAGTTTTCAGTGGCTTTCCAGCTAGTTCTCTTCCTATTTATTTCATGATTGTTCCTTTGTCGTGTGAAGTAAGAGATAGATTTTCAAAGGTGTGTAGTCTTTTTTAGCTCGTAGCCACGCAAAAAATTTTACTTTCCCAGATTACAGCTAAATTTGTATCAACCAGCTAACTATGGAAGCAGCCTATTGAAATATATATTGATGTCCACCTATATGTATCTGAGTGCACTACAAAACACTTCCCAGTCTTAGTGTAGTTTTTAGGATGGAAAGGACAATTTCCTACATGCATTTTCTTTTGATTTTTTGGGGAAAAACCTAAATGTAGTTTTTGATCATCTCATTCATTACTTCTATGAAAATTTTAGGAGATTTTTAAGTTGAAAAAAAAATGCTTGTGAAGTCTTTAAATCGCCACCCTTTCTCTTTTATTTTTTTTTTTGCATAGAAAAAATAAATTCGAAAAGAGAATTCCACAAAATTAATTGCAAGCTAGTGTAATGGCCTTCTTTTTCATTTTCTAAAATAACTTGTGATTGGCATGCAACAAACTTCAGAGTCCATATGGATTGCTATTTTTTTGGAATTTTTTTTATAGAAAATATATTATAACAATGTAACGTATTTAAGATAAATAGATCATTGAAAAATATATTCATGAAAAAAGCGTAAAAACTTTTTGGTTTCTCTACTGGATTTACTAGATTCGTTGTAATGTTCTAATGAATTTGTAGCCTGTAGGGGGGCTACCTCTCCTCTTGAGAATGCTCTCTCGAAGAATTTACAAACAAAAAAAAAAAAAAAGAACCAGTGACTATCTTGGATTATTTTGGTAGTTGTAACGTGTAATGTGGTAATTAACCTTGTATACTCCGTAAAAGTGCCTTAAGAATTTTTCAAAGAAATTGTTAGGGTAATTAGTTTAAAATGCCCCACA